GACAGCTCCCGTAAGGTGTAGGTAAGTCGTGCCTCGCGTAGGCCCTATCCTGTCATAGGGGCTCGCGAGAGGTATGGTTGGCGCACCCGGCCGGAGCGGCTTGCGGAAGCCCCATGTATATTGCGACGAAGGGTTGTGAAAACCAACTCCTGCGTGACGCGGCCGGGAGGGTCTCGCGCTGCCCCCGTGCGGTGCCGGACCGATGCGCCCGACAACGGCATGTCCTTCAGCCGTTCAACATCGTGAAGGGCAACCCCTCACGATATATTCCTTTAGCCATTCAATATCGCGAGGTGGAAACTGAGATTGTCACGTATGACTAGCATCGCTGGTTGATATAGGAAGGGCTCACAACCGCGCAACTTTATATCAAAGTCTTGAGTGTGACGCTCGTCCGTCCTAGTGTCTAGAGTTATGGGATTAAGTGATTCGTATGTGTACATGTGTGTCCAGAGTCGGTATAGGTCATTGGTGTCAACCGAAAAGGTTACCCAAGGTTGTGATTTTGGGATGGGGAGGCCTTCGGCCTATTTTTGCTTTTTAGAGTTATTATAGTTAGACGTTGTAGTACGTGGCAGCCGTCAAAGTCAAACCCCTTGATTCGCTTTCAGGCCCTAGGGGAAGGAGCTGGTCTCCAAGGCCATAAGAGACGATTGTCACCACAGGTACGAACCTGTGTACCACCCACTCTCCGCAGGGTGCGGAAGAGGCTGTGGTTCTCAGCCATACTTGGCGGTTGTCCAGCATCGAGAGATTAACCTTCAAGGCGCATGTCAGCCGACACTTGAGTGTCGAATGCGACCGCATTGCGAATCGATATGAGTTAACCCTGCGTCCGCGCGATCTTATGCCAAGCCTCGCACATGACGCCTATCCGATTTCCGCATCGAAAAGTTATGGAACGGTCGCTAAAGGACTAGGAGTGTTGTCGCGTTGTTCGTCTAGTGTCGTTTTGTATATGTATAGGTGTGTGTGTGTGTGTGCCTTTATTTTTATGTTCTTTATAGTGGTGTGCGTGTGGTGAGTGGGATACGTCCTAGTCGACCGACGTCGAGTCGTGCTTGGGACCTCAGCCCCCCAAGATGTCGGTTCGCGTGCGGGTCCGATAGAAGCGTAATACCACGTACCCCCTATGCTACAGCGAACGAGAAACGCCCTCGGCTGGTCCACCTTTGTGATTGCAGCTGATCAGCTTTCGTGCTGTGGACTGGTAGCTCGGCGGGGATACGCCCACCGAAGGGAGGTGACAGCTCCCGTAAGGTGGAGGTAAGTCATGCCTCACGTAGGCCCTATCCTGTCATAGGGGTTCGCGAGAGATATGGCTGGCGCACTCGGTCGGAGCGGCTTGCGGAAGCTCCATGTATATTCGCGACGAGGATTAAGACCAACTCCTGCGTGACGCAGCCGGGATGGTCCCACGCTGCCCTGTGAGGTGCCAGACCGATGCGCCCGACAGGTGGCGCCGTTGCCGGGGATAACGGAAACCTGCCGTTGTCCCTGGTGGAACGACATCCGGGTATGAGAGTGAGAAGGAAGTAGGCATAGGAAGGAAAATGAGAATGTGGGTTGGTTTGTATATGATTGAGTACGAATAAGGAAAATCTAGCGAGATATAGAGACTTTTTCTAAAGCAATACTTTTTTTTATATCCATGTGATTAACCAAAGTATACTGATATTGACCGTATAATAAGACTAAATTCTTTTGAGATTGGAAATAGGATACATTTTGAAGCAGTTTTGGCCACCACTTCGAGTCCAGCAATTTGGCGGAGATGTCCCAAAGTTGGTTGGTTGTCTGCCTAGCTTAGAAAGACTATGAGGGATAACCATACCTAGTTCAGATAGACATCATGGGGGAACCAGGTAGGACATACGGTAGAGATCTTGCTGAGATAGAGCACTAAATAGACGAGTGTTTTGTTTTTCCCTTACAGGAAGTTGAAAAAAGACGTATGTCGAGATGCCGAAGCCCAGTGGCTTAGTGGATGGCACGGGAAGCGTCTTGACGCTTGAGGACCTCATTGCAGCCATTGACAGGCATGAGAAAACGTTGAGCAATGTCCCAAAGGTTGATACCTTCCATTTCAGTGGAGAGAGGGTCTTAGATTGGCTGGATCTGGTGGAGCAAGCCTTGGCAGGGCTATCAGATGTAGTAAAGTTTCAGTGCATCCTGAGGTAAGTGCTCCATGGTCACCATCAAGAGGTAGAGAAGGTCATGAATGCGGCCAATGGCAGTTGGGCAAGGTTTAGAGATGGCATTCAGCGCAAGTATCGGTTGGGCGATGGATTGTTGACCACCACAAACCTTGAAGCCATGAATAAGGATGACTTCACTACAATAGGAACGTTTGTGCAAGAGTTCAAGAAAATGGCGAGGAAAGTTCATGGGATCTCAGAAGAGGCGCAATGTGCCATCTTTCTAGGGCTGCTTACCGCATCAGAGGCCTCAGAATTAACGAGCCATGGAGGGGGCAATGCGAAGCTTACCTGGGCCACTATTGATAAGGGAGTGGAAGATGGGAGCCTGGACCAGGTAGAGCAGCATCAGATGCGCTTGCAGAGGAGGAAGAGAAAGGAAAGGGGCACCACTGCATCTGGAACCCCAGGGGTCAAAAGGATTGTTACCGACGTGCTTGCGGAATTGGGCTATGGCAAGGATACCGAGGTGCAGAGAAAGGTGGTGACCGTAGTCCGAAGTCAGGGAAAGGAGGTAGGGGAAGAAAAAAACAGACAGGAGGACTACGGTGAGGAGGAGACGGGATCCCAAGTTCTCACAAAAGCCTAGCGAAGCAGTGTAACTTGCTGCTAGGAGGTCAAGGCTCTGGGAAGGGACAGATCCCGCAGGCAATCGCTGCGTCGCCAACCGTCGCCACAACTGCACATGTGTCCGAGTCGGCAGGGCCCTCGCAAATGGGGCCGCCACCAGCATATGGACCTTGGATGCCTTATTGTCAATTGGCACCCTAGCCTAAATGTGATCACTGCAGCTCGTGTGGAGGAAGGGAAGGGTCCCGCAGGACAGATCGTGCCATATCCAGGCCAAGCTCCCCCAACACAGATGGTGCCATATTCAGGCCAAGCTCCCCCAATACAGATGGTGCCATATTCAGGCCCACCGGCGAGTGTAGGGCCACCAAGTTTCCATACGACCCAATGCTACTTCACGGCCCAGCCTCCCACCTCGCAGCAAGCTTCGCAGGCCAGCGTGGCGGGAGGAGGAGGTCAAGGGCAAGGAGGGCGAGGCAATAGTGGTCGAGGACAAGGAGGTCGAGGGGGTGGCGGTCGAGGGAGGAACGGCGGGGGACGTGGTGGCGGATGGAATGGCCAAGGAGGGCAAAATCAAGGCGGCCAAGGTGGTCAGGAACGGGGCCAAGGGTATGGGAGGCCCCGCTTCGATTGGCGGAATGCCATTTGCCGACATTGTGGCAATATGGGCCATACTATACGATTTTGCCAGGAACGGAGGGACGATGAGCTCTCTGGTCTGATATCCACAAATATGGACGGAGATATACATGATAAGTTTGGACATTATATTGACCCGAAGATTCCAGGCGGAGTTAGGCAGGAAGCCGTTAGGCGAGCAGCGGCAGGGTCGGCGCCTCCGGCAATATTCAGACTATGGCAGGAAAGGGAGGACCCGCCCGTGAGGGTTGAAAAGGTTATGGGGGAAAATGAGGAGGTAACCCAATGGCTAAAGGCAGGGGCTATAAAGGAAGAGCCAATAATCGTTGAGTCGGACGACGAGGACTCAAGGGAGATGGGAGAGTCAGCCACGACCATCATGGAAAAAATGGAGGACCTGCTGGGGAAGTTAGGGAGGTACCAGCAAAGGCTAAAGGAGTTGTGTGAGAGACCCAGGCATGGAAAGCCAACCTCCCTAGAGTCTTCCTTTACGAATCCGGGCCTGGATCAGCGTCAGGGCAGCAAGGCTATCCTGGGTTCATGACGGTAGGGTCGGGCCCTAGGTGGGGGAGGACATTCAGGCCACCAACCTCGCATGGGCGGGCACCACAGGCAGCGTAAACCAGGAGCCAAAGTAAGGCTGGTACTGGTCAAGCGCCGAGTCAGGCACCTCCTCGGAAGGGACCCGAGCCTCAGTGTAGGAAAGAAGTGGTAGAGGTCCCTGAAGAGGAAGAGGAAGAGGATGATGATGCGGAGGACGAGAGGCTCCGACAAGAGGAGGATCGGCGGACGGAATTAAGGGCCAAGAAAAGAGGGATTCGGGAGGAAGCTGAGCCAAGCCAGCAGGACGACGTGCCCAAGAAAAAGAAGTACGCAGTCCAGCTAGAAGAGGGCTTTAATGTGGAGAGAATGGTGGACAGGCTCCTCGAAGGTCATAACGTCCTCATGAACTTGAGGGATATTCTGGCCTGCCCCCCGAGATTCCGAGATGGTTTGAAGGGACTGTTATCTCGGAGGTTATTACCCAGTGTCCATCTGAGTACGATCCTGCCAAGGGAGGTAGGATGGACAGAAGCCGGAACGAGGATGACCTGGAAATGTGCGACGTGCGGGTTGGTGGATTTAGTGGTGAAGGAGAAGAAGTGTGTTGCAATGATGGACACAGGAGTCGAGATGAACATCATCAAGGAAAGGGATGCCCTCATGCTTGGATTGGAGATTGACCGGGCGGAGCATGGCATATTGCATGGAGCTAATTGCAAGGCAGTTTTTTGTGGCATGGCATCCAATGTGATAATAGAAATTAGTAAGGTACGGGCGAGGACTTGCTTCTTTGTCATGTCGGACGTCGATCACCCTATCCTCCTGGGAAGGTTGTTCATGTGCAGGACAGAGACTTCGATCTTCAATAAGCACGATGGGACGATGATACTGCTCATGAGTGATCCAGCTTGTGGGAACTATGAAGTTATCACCTGCCGGAACACGGGGTCAGAGAGCGAGCGGAATAGGCCTAATCCCGACTCGTTCACCTTTGTAGCATCGGAGAATGAGCGGAGGAGGCTTTGGGAAGAGCACGTGGAGGAAGGAAGAGCAGAGGTGTTGTCGCTAAGCCTCACAGATGTAAATAAGGCTATGGAGATAGTGGCGACATGAGATGGCGGATCCGGAGGCGATCAAAGTGTTGAGGGAGCAAGTTTTGGAAAACCCTCAAGTGAGGGAAGTGGAGTTGATCTATCGACTTCCCGGGGGAAGAGGAGGCCCTGCGATGGTGCAAGCGCAAACAACAAGCCGGCCTTTTTTAGGGGACGGCTTAAGCAGGGCTCCCAAAGGCGGTACAAGACGATAAATAAAAAGTGTCGCCCTGTTCCCGTGCTCATTACAGAAGATGAGGAAGCATACTACGGGCAGGAACGAGGATTGATACGGCTTATGCGAGAACAGGCGCTGAATGGTCCATGCCGTATCAATAAGGAAAATGAAGGGAAGCTGATAGTTGTAGAGTTGGGTATCATTTCACCCCAAGAGAAGACCTTGATGGTGGGGCTGATGAGGAAAAGGCATCGCGCGTACGCCTTCAATGATGATCAGCGTGAGAGGCTGGATGTGGACAAGATTTTGATGATTCGGATCCACACCGTGCCACACGAACCTTGGAATCTAAGAGGCGCGCGATATCCGAATCCTGACGAAGAGAAAATGGTGGTGGACTATCTAGATGGCAAGATGCGCACATGTTGCTGGCTACTCTAGCGGACCGTATGCGTCCCCTTGGTTTTGCTTTATTAAGTATTAAGCCGAACGGGGCGCTACGGTGGGTACAGGACTTACAACGGTTGAATGCGGTGACAGTGCGAGACGCGGGGGGCTTGTCGAACGCAGATGCATTATCAGAATCATGCGCAGGGAGGTCTATAATTTCACTTATAGACCTCTATTTTGGGTATGACCAATTTCCTGTATACCCGCCTGATAGGCCAGTAACAGCGATCCACACGCCGAGGGGGTTGATTCATATGAATGTGGCCGCTCAAGGTTGGACCAATGCAGTGACAATGGTGCAGAGGCATATGATCAGAGTCGTGCAGACGGTCGGTCTGCACATCACTCAGCCTTACATTGATGACTTGGCGGTCAAAGGCCCGAAAGAGAGAGAGGAGGACGAAGTGATGCCCGGAGTAAGGCGTTTCGTCTGGAGGCACATCCAGGACCTCGATCAGGTCCTGAGCCTGCTGGAGGAATATAACCTTACTGCGAGTGGTCCAAAATCCAAACACTGCATGAAATAAGCTACCATTCTGGGTTTTGTCTGTAATGAGAACGGTCGGAGGCCGGATGCAAAAAAGACAGACAAAATCTTAGAGTGGTCAGTACCTTTTTACTCCATAACGGATGTGAGAAGCTTTTTTGGCACCTGTGGATTTTGGAGGAGGTTTGTAAGAACTTTGCCGCCAAGACCGAGCATTTAAGGAAGCTGGTGCGTCAGGATCAGGAATGGGTTTGAGGTGAAGATCAGGAAGAGGCGGTGACCCAGATGAAGGGGAAATTCAAGGAAGCAGGGTTAGTATTGGGGGCGCCTAACTATGAAGTGACTGCGGAAAAGCCTTTCGTCATCGAGACGGACGCTGGGCCGACTGCCTTGGGAGAAGTCCTAATTCAGGCGGATGCTGAAGGAAAGGAGAGGCCTCTAAGATTTGAAAGTCAGACTCTTAATGCGACCGAGAGGAACTACTCTCAGTTTAAAAAGGAGATGCTTACAGTACTCCATTGCTTAAGGATCTTCCGGAGTTATGTTTTCGGCAGGAGGTTTATATTGAGGGTGGATCCCACGACGCTTGCATGTTCCCTGAAGAACTATACTCCATCTGACCCAATCATCGCACGATGGTTGACATACATTTGGATGTTTAACTTTGAATTGGAGAGAATTCCAGGGGATAAGAACAGGGTCGATGGCTTGAGTCGCATTAACTGGGACAAATTGGATAAGGAGTCGATTAAAGATACTCCACCAGTTGATGGGTTCTTGGACCAGGAAGAGGACGTCGGGCTCCATATAAACAAGTGGTCCTTGTGAGTGCCCAGTTGTGTCACCCACCTCATATGGATAGCGCCTAGAGGATATGATCAAAAGAAAGATTTAGTCCTCAAACGGTTTCAGGAGGAGGACCCATGGGGAGGCAAGGATGTTCGCTGGATGATGAAATTGGCGTTGGCAGGTACGCATAGTTTAGCGGAAGAAGTGAGAACAATAGAGGAGGGCCCTGCTCAAGTAGAGGAGCATGAGCAGTTGATGGGAGGGATGTATCTACTCACGAATACGCTTCTGCAAGGTGACTTTGACCGAAATGGCTCATTAAATCCAGTTGAGGGCGAGGACCCCGTTCCTGAAAGTCAGGATGATGAGTTCGAAGAAGGAGAGATTAAAAAGGTTTTTCAAGCAGAGGAGTATGGTGGGATCTACCTTGAGTTGGGTCTACTCCAATTCTGTGAAATGAGGGGTAGAGATGCAAGCGCTAAAACTCAAAAGATGAGGCATCTCTATGTAGTGAGGGATGGTCATTTGTTCATAAAGCGGCAAGTCGGGAATCCCAAGCGGATTGTATGTGGGAGGAACTGACAGATTGATATTATAGCCGCACTACATGATGGTATAGCAGGAGGGCATAGAGGGGTAAGTGCCAAGTGCGCTAAGATAAGTGAACTATACCACTGGGATGGAATGTTGAACATGGTCATCAAGTACTGCCAATCTTGTGTTCCTTGCCAAGAGAGATCGACGCAAAGACCGGGAGAACCCCTCACCCGAGGTTGGAGAGAGAAGTGGGTGCAGTTGTACATCTGGATTTGCTTTTCATGCCCGCCGGGGAGCATGGGTATAACTACATCTTCGATGCGCGGGACAACCTTACCGGGTTTGTGGATGGTCGGGTTATCCGAACCAAAATCGGACTGGTCTTGGCAAGCTGCATCGAGGAGTACTACCTGCGCTAAAACGAGGGTCAGAATTTACTAGCTAAGAGGTGCAGACCTTGCTTGAAGGATATGACATAGTGGCGAACTACACTACTGTTGTGCACCCTCAAGCGAACGCACGAGTGGAGAGGAAACATAGCACCATTACGAATTTCCTTGCTAAGTGGACGAAGGGTAGGCCCAATCAGTGGCCAAAGTTCTTGCGGACCGTCTTCTTTGTTGAAAATATTACTGTGAAAGGACTACCAAGTATGCGCCGGCCACTTTATGGTATGGGAGGCATGCCACCTTCCCAATTGAGAGTTTCCTAAGGACTTGGAGGTGTCAGGACTTGGAGACGAACCTGTCGTTTGAAGAGTTGCTTGATATTCGGGCACGGCAGGTGGGTGTAGTTGAGGAGAGGATACGAGAGGCCTCCAAGCACGTAGAGAGGAGTCGAATGGAGGAGAAGATGCGGTGGGACCAAATGACACATGTGCGAAAGGCGTCATTGGCAGTTGGGGATATCGTGCTACTATGCGACTCTTCCCTGGAAAAGCAGTAGTCGAAAAAACTCGACAAAAGATAGTTAGGGCTTTACAGGATTGTGCGGTGTGGCGAATTTGGAGCTTATCAAATTGAGGAGCTGGATGGGACAGAGTGGAAAGATTGGGTGTCCGGGACAAGATTGAAGAAGTTCGTGGTCAGGGAATAGGTAAAAGCCTAAAGACCTCTAAGATAAACCCCCTTCCTAAGTATAGCATATCAGGATTAGGGTGGATAGAAAGAGGGAAGGGTTAGATGTGTCGAAAATGGGGTATATGATTGCTCTGAGACTTGATGAGCCTGCATGCTGATCCTGTCGTATGCTTGGTTGTTTTCTCTCACGTGATGTGCAGGTCTGACTTCTTGAAAACAACCATGCAAAGGGGCGGGAGGGACACACGGCCACGACAGAGACCTCTTGGGGCATCCGGAGAGGGAAAACGGCATGGGCCCTTCAGGAGAGAGCCTACGCCTGTTTTTTATGATGACAACATCGAGCTCTTCCTGGACGTCTATCGAGATCACACGACCCAGAGAGGGTGGGACGTACCTGAGAGGATACGACATTTGAGAGGGATTGGGCGATTTGAGGAGCCTATCGCACAGATCAGGGAGGAGGCGTTGACCTGGCCGGAGGTGGAAGCAAGGATGCAGAGATTGAGGGCTTCGCCTGTGGGGCATGATGGGTTGCCCATTCGTCTGGAGGAGGGGAATGCGGAGGAGTTCATCCTAGCATATGAGCAGTATGTGAGCGATCAGGGAATCCCAAGGGATAAGTGGATGCAGACACTACTCCTATGGACCAGGAGGGGGGAGAGACCACTAGCAAGACAAATTCGGGATAGGGCGCGCAACTGGTAGGACTGCCAGGCTCAGTTGAGAGAGACGTTTCGGCGGCCAGAACCAGACAGACCTGAGCCCAGGGTTGATAGAAGGCGAAGGAGTAAGAGGCTAAGGGATCTGGAGCCGAGAGAGCCCATTGTGACTAGGGGAGGTCGGAAGGCTTTGGCGCAGCAGGAAGGAGGGCGAGCAGGACTTGCTCAGGCGGCAGAGTCTTTCCCTGCTTGTGGACTTAGGCATGTGGAGTTCCATCAGGTTACTAGCAGTGACCTACAGGGACCTTCGCTGCGATCGCTAGATTAGGGGGAAATAAGGCTATTAGAGGCACCATTCAGGAGTTTGGAGGCCCATCTTGATGCATCCCAATGGGGAGCCCCACCAATGGGGGTGGGCCCGGCAGATCCACCAATGGAGGGGCCATTGCATCTCGAGCCTGGGGTTGAGCCACGCGGGCAGGAGGAGTTGCATGCAGAGGAGATCATTACGATGGAGGGTGACACTCCCCCTCATACCCTCGTTCTAGAACAGGCGCGACAGCCTTGGCCAGAGGGAGTCCCTGAGCCAGATAGCGAAGAGATTCCAGCACCCTCGCCTGAGGCCACTATGTCACACAGATGAGAGACAGAGATGGGAAGGCCAGAAAAAGGATGGAGGGCTAAGTCCCGCGTGGTCATTGACTCGCATTTAGCCGCACATGCATCCGAGCACCCTGATATTGGGGTGCCTATCTCAGTTGGGCCATTTTCAGGGTCACCGCACATCGAGCCAGAGATGGGCGCGCAGGCTCCAACCAAGGAGGTCCGTGGAGTGAGGATGGAAAGGGTGTCAGAGGAGACTGAAGAGGCGAAGTCTACCAGGGTACAGGCCCGCCTTGCCGAGGTATATGAGCAGAAGGAAAGGATGGAGGCGGCACAGATAGCGCCGACACCACCAGTTGACCCCAGGACGAGCGAGCAAAGGATTGACGAGTTATGGGCCAGATATGAGAGCCGAAGGGAGGCAACTCGCCAGAGGTTACAAGAGGCAGGGCAGGCGGACGAGAGGGCAGATGAGGCAATAGAAATTGGGGGACTGGGATTTTCCGCCGCCAGGATGGCCATCGAGCGGGTGGACAGAAGGATACGACAAGCAGCAACCACATCCTTCTACAGATATACTCTGCTTAGTGACGAGCTGGCAATTAGGAAGGGAGAGGTGGAGCAGCTGACTGCTCAGCTTGCAGAAGAAAGGGTTGAAAACAAGGCCTGGAGGGCTCGGTTGGAGGCCAAAGCAGCTGAGTGGGAGAAAAAGCTCAAGGAGATGTCAGCTGCAGTGGAAAGATTTTCGACAACTAAGGTGGTCGATTGGACTGAACAGAGCAGATATGGCATTCAAGGCGAAGGGATGCAGGGACTGTTTGGACAAGGAGAGGCGGCAGAGACATCTCAGCAGGAAAAATTAAAGAATGTGTTTCTGGACCCGACTGAAGTAGAGGCGAGGAGAGAGGCTAACAAGGGAAGTTTTGAGTTCAAGGCTCCCACTGAGTTAGCCTCGCGGCAAGAAGCCCCTATTTCAGCTAAGTCCCCTGTGGAGGTGCCAACTCAGGAGCCTCAGCCTGCACCTGTTGAGGAAGAAGCTGCAGAGGAGTCGCTCACGATCCTTTTGGAAGTGCAAGAAAAGACCCTTACTGGGGCAGTGGTACCTCCTCAGTCTGAGGCACAAGGGAAAAAGTCGTAGCGTCTGGACGAGTTGATGGCTGTCATGGAGGTAGATATGTCACCAGAGAGGCCTCAGAGACTGGGGACCCCGGAGCTTGTGTCGGAAATGAGGGAGTTGAGGGCACAGTTGGGCTCCTGGGCCACTGGGGCTGACTCAGGAGGGCAGGCCACTGTGCGATAGCAGCAGCCAGCAGGAGGCCACGAGCCAGCCTGCAAGGGCAGTTACTCCCCAGACTTCGGAGCTTCGTGAGAGTGAGGAAGTGGCTGTGACAGAGAGGACCCACGAGGGCAGGCCACTGAGGTTGGATACTCCCGAGTACAGGCCCGAGGGGAGTGGGCTGCGAGGGGAGCCGAGTGCTCAGGGATTTGGGGAGAGGGCTGAGTCGTCGTGGCACCTGCCTCAGAGTCACGAGGTGGGCATGGAGACATGAGAGATACTCCCATCGTCAGAAGCCCAGAAAAAGAAGAGGAAGTTTCAGAGAAAGTCGGAGGCTATGTGCTTCTACTTTCTGGATGGTATGCATAGGGCCCTAAAATGTCCAAAGTTCCTCGAGGACAAGGCCGTAGGGCGAGTTACTGAACGGGACGGGAGGATTTACTATAGACAGGGTCGAGTGGTGGAGAGAGCTCCAAATGGGGGTAGAGCTCAGTTGTATAGGCAAAACCAAGAGGAAATGAGTGAGTAGGGGCCGGTTTGTCTATACGTCAGTAAGAGTAGGATGCCCTTGTACATAGAAAGTGAGTTAGAGATGTATATACTATGAGTCGGATACATGTGTCATGTTCTCTTGTACATAAGTAGAGGGTAGTGTACAATACAGCTTGAGGATTTTTTCTTGTCATGACTCAAAAGATGGGACTCAGTTGTGTGATATCCGAAAATATTTGGTTTACATTTTCGTTTTTTTACTCAAATTTTACTTGTACGTTTAGGAGTGTTTTGAGAGTTACAACACTTGAGGCATGAGTCTGTTTGGCATAAAAGGGACAGGGTGTTGAGTACCAAGATTGGTTTTTTAGAGACATTCTATTCCTGAGTGTACACTGAGTGAAGATCTTGAGACTATTTCCTTGTATATGACGATCACTCTCATACTCACATGTGTGGTTTTATCCTGATGTATGATGGTTTGTGTGAAAAACATGTGAAAAACATGTGAAAAACATCTCATATGCTTCGTATTTTGTGATTGTGGATGGGTGTGAACTGTCTACTCTTCGGTATACTTGTACGATCTGTCCATGGGCGAATGATAGAGTCGAGTATAAGAAGGGGAAGTGCAGTCTGTTTTGTAAAAGGAATGTGAGGATCCTAAAGGATTTATAAGTCCTTGAGACTCGAATGCTTACATGCCGAATATTTATTGTTTGAGTTGTATTGAGGGCCCATAAGTTGGCCTCTTTGCTTGTGTTGTTTTATGGTTGAGACACCTTTTAGTAAAAAGGTAGTCTTATGTTTTATTTGGGAGACTCATCTTCAGAAAAGGAAGATGTTTTACAAAGGTCATGTGAGAGTTCATCCTAGAGAGAGAGGGATGGCTGGGAGACCTATTGAGTGAGACCCCCTTGCATGAAAGGTGGACCAGGTGGTTAATAGATTTAATGTCATGGAAAGCTGATTTTTTTAAGATAAAGACTGACGAGAGGAACCAGGATTTGTTGGCCATTTGGTGGAATTTTGAAGAATGTCGCAAAATTGTTTGATTTTGAAAGATGTCATTAAGATGTGTGACCTTCTTACCCTGATTAAGTTGGGAGGTCACGGCCTTGTGAATCTGGCGGTGATTTTGTTTTGTGAATGTGGAGAGGTTGTCATGTTTCCTCTGTATTATCCCAGAGAGGACTGGTAAATACCTTTTATGTGTGATAGGCCTATGCGTAGTCTCGCAATAGACCTGTATTGTTGCGACACACCATCCAGCCACTTGTGCTAATCTTAGGGCATATCAGGAAGACCAAGCTAAACGGTAAAGTTTTAGCACTACTAGAGCGTAACCCCTAGGGATGGTTGTTGGTCGGCACAACCTGGTTGCGAGCCCACGTCTTACCGAAGGAGTAAAGACTTAAAGGGGAACGGCGTGGGATAAGAGTCGAGTCATATGAGTCTTTTGGGAAGTCCTGATTGAATGTTTATCATGAGAAAGCCTATCGTGGTGCAATGCGAGGGCGCTACCGCTAAATAACAAACGCGGTAGGTTATAGAAAGGACTCGATCAACCAGACTATGGTGGGCCAAGATGGAGACCTAGCACTTCTGTACTAGACCGCAGAAGGAGCTGAGAGGAGATTTAAGGGCGTATATAAGTATATGTTTGATTGTGAGGATTTTCGGATGGGAGGCTAAGGAATGCCTTCAAACGGTTTCGGTTAGGGCCTGCGTCCCTGGTTATGGCCCTGCTTGCAGGGTGGAAGCTAGGAACACTTAACGAGAAGCCGGCGTTTGTCTAGGACAAGGGGGAGAATACGGTTATGAGGGTCTTTAGAACTTATGTTGTAGTACTGATGCGTAGTACACCAGCGTCCTAGTGTCAGGACAGTGGAGACCCGGGTTGAAACCCTGGCAGCACATTGTTGTGTTGGCATGGATTGATGGAGGTATCGAACCTTAGTCTGTCGGTTAATCAGATTGGTTCTTTTCTCGTCAGCATTTGGAGTGTGGATGATTTGGTAGCTTTTGATTTTCGAGCAACGAGGACGTCGCTTAATATGGTCCGATAAGTTGTTGGCGTTAATACCCTTACAAGGATATCCGCCCTGTTTTTTGCAAGTGACAGAAAATTCAGGTAGTACGGAATTGTCGGGTGACCGCGCGGGTCGCCGTGGTTGTCCGAGTGTAGGCTGAGGGTCATTTTGAATAGGAAGAGTGAGTAAGCGCGCAGCTTTGAAGGCGCGCGTGTGATTTTATTTCATTTGTGTTGATCGAGGAGTCGGCGTAATTGACCGACTGAGTCTTATTTTTCTCTGATCAAATTAGGGATTTTTTAAAAGATTCCGCCTTTTTGTCTGGTGCGTTTGAATGGCGGTACGCTTGGCGCGTGGAATGGCGTGCGTGGTGACCGTAGTGCAACTGGGACCCGTCAGCGCGGACGTTTAGTGGTCATAGGTGCAAATGCAGGCTGCGGAACGGCCCAGGGCGTTTCTTGGCCTTGAGCACTGCGCAACACCACTTCATATAGGATTTTGCGCCTGCTGGTTTCAAGCTTGGGCTTAACCCTATAGGTTACGGCTTGGGATTGTTGCTACGGAGGTAAGGGGATTGAGGCCAATGGAGTAGTGTGGGAGCGGCAGAGCGTAATGGGAGGAAACTGATGAGGTTGAGGGTCCGACGAGGCTATCCCTCTCAGTTTTGTTAGCAGGCGCGACGACGGGTCAGGCCCACGGGCCTGGCAAGGTGCCAGCAGTTCCCCCTTTTCCCCATTTCTTTTATGTATTTTGCTTTATGTTTCTATTATTATTTCTTTTATTTTCCATTTCTCATGCCCCATTCTGTTCTGGGACATGATACCGTGGCTGGAGCTGCGACCCAGGGACCTAGCTCGGCTGGTACGCCCATAAACGGTTGAAATAACAGGCCTGCGTTCGATACCAGCCAATGCAACTGAAAGAGCCAAACCAAATATTCTAATTTACCAGGGGCCGGTCAACCTGTGGTGGTTCCCCAGGGCGTCGTGTGTCTCGTCCTTCGGGACATCTGTTAAAATTGGAACGATACAAAGACGATTAGCATGGCCCCTGCGCAAGGATAACACGCATAAATCGAGAATAACTTTTCCTTTTGACTATTTTTGCTTTGCCTTCTGTTCGGTCCGAACCTCGCACGGTCCGAGTCGCAGTGCGCTAGTCTTCGGTGACACCTGCGCTAAACGGTGCCGAGCGCGTACGGGCCAGGGAAGAGGCAGAGTTAGCAAGAGATGACCATAGTGAGGGAGGTATGAGCATGGTGGGAGGGAGAAAGCGGTGCCTGCTCATCGCAAGTTAGGATTGAGGTGGGTGAGATACAGACTAAGGGATTTTGGACATTGCGAACCGAATGGTGTAGCCAGATTCGGCAATCGGAATGTGAGTCGGGCGCTGTGAAGAAGAGGTCGTGCATGGGCGGTAACGAAGGAGAGAGAATTAAATGAATCTGGATACAAAATTGTGCCAGATACAGTCGGAGTAAGAGATGGTGGGGCTAGAGCTGGGGCGCAGCAAGAAAGAGGGAGCGCTGGTGAAGCCTCACGATCGCGGGGAAGTAGTAGTGACAGGTAGGGGCCTTAGCCCCGGGCGAGCACAATCGTCGGGTTAGTTTTGGTTAAAGGTTAATAGATTAAGAGGTAGGAGAGAGAAGCATCACCCGGGACCGTCGAAGAAAGAGGATATAGCGGAGTAAGGAAAGAGGATTCAACGCGCTTCTTAGTAAGAGTGAACGGGTGGAGAGAGGTGAGTCCTAGAGGTGTTGAGGACGGGCGAATCCGATGGCAGAGTTGGATTCAAAAGTTAGTGCATGGTTTCTGCGATAGGAGCTGCGAGGGGAGGGGATGACTAGATAGCGGCTTTAACTAAGTAATGTATCTTTCCGTGTTATAGCGGTAGATACATTCGATTTTGCTCAGCCTAACGACATGGCTTGCGTGAGGCAGGCTACGGGGTTGGAGACTTACCTGTGGCAGGAGTGTCACACGCGCAATTGGAAGAACGAAAGGGAAGTACGCACCCGGACGTTGTCCAACGGCAGATTCATTCGATTTTTCTCATCCGATCGTAGAGAGCACGAGCGAGCAGGAATCAAGATGGGGAAAAAGAGCACATAACTGTTTGGCCGAGGAGCTCAGGCAGGGGAATACAGTCGGAAAGTAGTGAATGTTTCCGTGTTCTAGCGGAAGATTCGTTCGATTATGCGCATCATGTTGGCGGAAGTAACGGGGGGCTAGCCGCGGAGTTGGAAACTTACCTCACGAGCGCGAAGGCAGACAATGAGACGGTTACTTGTGCTAGCGAACAACAGTAGCGTGAGGGTGCAGCGGGGTCGGGCACTTACCTGTTGGCCAGAACGTCGCTCGCGCTATCAGTGGAAGATTTGTTCCCTCTCTCACCAAACGCGTGCCCGAACGGTGTGCACCTAACCGTGCTCTGA